GCTGCCGATCGGTAGTAAAGGCTCCCAACAACACGCGAGCCAAACCTTATAGCACAGCATGCAGCCTGGAATTCACAATAAATTATCAAAGTCCGCTAAAAATAGCTTTCTCTTCTCTCAACGAATCACGAAACAAGCCCAAAAATCACTCGTAGTGCGCCTATCTATCAGCCATTGGCTGATGTGAACATGGCGCTCCTTTGCTACAAAGATCCCCGCGAGAGGCCTTCACTTGTCCACGCGTGCGCGCGATTACACTGAAAAAAAAAAAAGCCGCATATTCGAAAGGAAAAAGATTGCCCGCAGCTTCCCTCGGGGGAACACTGAGGAGGATGCGGAGCATATAATTGGTTAACGGGGTGTTAAAGTGCGACTTACTTGGGTCGACGGCTAAATTGGTTAACGTGGTTGTGAAATGGGGTGTTAAATTGCGACTTACTTGGGTCGATGGCTAAATTGGTTAACGTGATTGTAGGAGGGGGTGTTAAATAAGTGAACACGTACACACGTATGCGAAAGGGTGGCGCTGGTCGAAGGGACGTCGATCATTGTGTTTGTGGATTCGTTGGCATTCATTTCACCGCGACCTTGGACGTCGACGCGCCGTACAAACCAACCGACGAGCGGCAACTGAGCGAGCGAGCGCCGACCTTGAGTATATATACAGCGCGACGGCGCATGCACTGTCAGCTGTTGAATGTTCTCGAAGCGCGACGGCGCTTGCGCGTCCACTGGAGAATCAGGAGAATTGTAGAATGTTCTCGAAGGGGAGAAGCGCGCGTGGCACAGATGGTGGGTGACGGTGCATGCGCGCGTCAGCTGTCGAATGTTCGAGAAGGGGGAGAAGCGCAACGGCGCATGCGCGCGCGTCAGCTTCCGATGTTCTCGAAGCGCGACGGCGCATGCGCGCGCGTCAGCTGCCGATGTTCTCGAAGCGTGACGGCGCATGCGCGCTACATTATACACCTAGCGAATGTTCGTGAAGAGGAGAAGCGCACGCGGTGTGTAGAGGAGGAAGGGTGCACAGATGGTGGAGGAGTGAAGCGCGCGCGGTGTGTAGAAGAGGAAGGGATGCACATATGGTGGAAGGAGGAGGAGGAAGCTTGCGGACGGCGCCGCACTACAAGCCTCGAGTATTAGATGCTCCGCATCTAAAAAAAAGAAGAAAGTGCTTAAGGCCATGAGGAGCGAGTGACGTTTTTTCGTTTGCCCCCCCCCCCCCCGTTCCAATCGCTCCCTGCTTAGCTTTCAGTGCTTTCCAAGGGACGAGAGAACAGAGAATGCGATTGCAGCATGTGACAAATCTTTGTAACTCCGCTTGTACTGAACAAATTCTTAAAATTTTCGCGGCGTTGAATTTGTGAGGTAATACGCTTTTCCAGTGAATTAATTCCATGCATGGTTACTCAAAAAAGTGTTTCAGGGCCCTTTCAAGAAAAAACAGCTAGCGACTACTACATGGGCCAAGCTCAGGCAAAGCCACCTTGAGGACCATGCCTTCTGTGCAAATAAAGTTGATTCTTCCTCCTCCCTACAAAGCTGAAGATGATCAACAGCTCGCCTGTTCCCTTACGCACATCCAAAATTGTCAGAAGCTTAGGCATAATGGCATCTCTAAACTTTCCCTACAGGTGCCCTCGTTTGGCTCTGGTCATATCGAACTCTGCTGCGCTTTCTTCTAAATCAGTTAAGGACCTTGTCGAAACCTCTTTGCAATTTCTCACATCAATTACAAAGCAGAGTCTTTGGCACAGTTGTATGGCCTATGTTGAGATCGAGAAATGTGGCTTGCATAAAGCCCCATTGTGACGGTGCCATGCTATCAAGGCCCTCAGCCACCCCAACACTCCACTATTCAGCACTGCCGAACCCAGTAAAAAAGAGAAGGTAAAGAGCAATAAGCTACAGGGGTTGACGGAAACAATAGTAGGTACTAGAGCTAAGAATCATCTCATCTCAGTATACCTGCCAGGTCTCCCGATTTGCCCGGGAGACTCCCCAATTTCGATCGCTTTGTACGATTGTACGACCGAGATAGAAATCGTGCCCGCGTGTTTGTCTCAAAGCGGGCTCTAGTTTGGTAACCTAGCACGAATGCACACGCGCGGAGTGCCGATTGTCATCGCCATCGTTGAAGAGCTCGAATGTGCCTAGTCGACAAAGCGGAGCCGTCGCAAATGCGAGCGAGCCTGCCAGTACTTCGAGTATGTGAACGCAGCGCCCCCGCTCTGTGAGCTATGAGGCGCAAGGCAGGTGCGGTGGCGTTAGCGTCGGATTCTGCTGTATTTTCCACGCTAATGTCGCTGAGTGATAGCACTGACACCACTGGCACACCGACTTGCCGTTCTTTCTCTGAGCATTGCTTGTGTTCTTGTGTCGCGAGCGCTTTTAGCGTGGCTAGCGCTGTGTTGCGTTGCTGTCTGCCATGGCACTCAGCAAAGAGCAAAAAAATATCTTCAGGTGTTCTTGAAGCAGTATACGACAGAGTTCGGTTGTGCTATCGCCTCGCGGAAAGATGAGCACCATGCGTTCTGCACCATCTGTAAGTGCGACATCAGTATATCCCACGGCGGCAGGACTGACGTGGTTGCGCACGTTTCGTCGAAGAAGCACACCAACAACGTTCAGTTCCAGGAGAACAGCATCTAATGCAGCAATTTTTCGGTAAGCAATACGGCGACAATGATGCGATACGTGCGGAATGTTTGTTTACCGCTTTTCTGCTTAAGCACAGCATTCCGTTGAGTGTCTCCGACCACGTGGGACCGTTGCTGCGGAAGATGTTTTCAAAATGCGATGTTGCAAAGCGCTACGGCTGTGCTAGAACTAAGACTACAATGATTGTCGGCAAAATGGCAGGCCATGCACAAGAGTGTGTGGTGAGCGCCTTGAAAAGACGAGTTTTTGCGGTTGCCACTGACGGCTCGAACGACAGCCAGGCACAGCTGTACCCCATCGTGGCCACCTTCTTTGCGGAATAATCGGGCCTTATCGAGAGCAAACTGCTTACTTTAAGCACCCTGGAAGGCCCTTTAACAAGGCGCAACATCGCCAAGTTAATTATGGACAGTTTTGCGTCATTGAATGTGCCATTGTGTAATTGCATAGCTTTTTGCTGTGACAATGCCAACGTGATGATGGGCAATAAGAATGGCATAGCGGCAGGGCTAACCGAGGCCCATGAAAGCATTGTGAAAATTGGATGCCCATGCCATTTAATAAACATTGCGGCTGAAAAGGCAGCTTCTTGTCTCCCAGCAAAGGTGGACAAGTCCTTGTGGACATTTTTTATTATTTAGAAAGAAGTGCTAAAAGAAAAAGTTTACTTAAAGAGTTTCACGAACTGCACAATAATGAGTTTTGCAAGATTCTAATGCACGTTCCAACCAGATGGCTTTCGCTGGGAAAATGCCTGGAAAGGCTCCTATATCAGTGGGCACTGCTCTTGAGTTTTTTCCTTCAAAAGTAAAAAGAGATGCCACTACAGTGTCCCAATTTCTGACCCACTATGACATTCCCAAAATGCCAGCACAAACTGAACACACTGGTAAAGTCTGTTGAATCAACACCTGTGCCTGTGAAAAAAGTTAAGGCTACTGATGTGTGCAAGACTGGATCAACTTTCATAACACGTGAGGAACGACTGTTCATGTTCTTGAGCTCGGAGCTTAGCAAAGCTTGCGGCGTGTTTTTAAATAACATTATTCTTGCTTTTGAGACAGTCAACTGCCACCTGCAAGCACAGGCACCCCAAATACACAAGCTACAGCCTATAGTTCTAAACCTTCTTGAGGACATCCTTTCAAGGTTTGTGAGGCCAGCACTGCTAAAGCAGCACAATGACATCTGTTTGATAGACTACCACAGCAGAAATGTGCAAAAGAATGACCAAGACTTGGTAATTGGACACCAAGCTAAGTGTGTTGTTGAAAAGCTCAAGCCAAGTGACAAAAAGGAATTTTTTGAGGCTGTTAGAAGGTACATGGTTGCTGCATGCGACTACGTGTGCCTCAAATTTACTTTTAGAAATGAGGCTTTGATCAATGCACGTGTTGCGGATATTGAAGCTATGGATAACATGTCATTTAAGAATGTCCTTTTTTGTTGTTGAGCGGTTTCCAGCGTTATTGCCACAAAACGAGCAAGAGACCAGAGATCAAGCTATTAATGCACTGGAAATGGAATTTGTGAAGATGCAGTCTTTCAAAATTCCTACAAATATACTGGAAGAGGAACGGGCCGATGTGCAGTGGAGAAAAATCTCGCTGCTGAAAGGCGAAGATGGACTTATGAAATTCAGTCGCATTGCTCAAGTGATGCTGGGAATCCTTTCAGTATTGCACAGCAATGCTGAATGCGAGCGGCAGATCAGCATTGTGAGGAAGACTCGAACAGAGTTCCCACTTCCGTGTCAGACAAGACACTTGGGCAACTACTTCAGGCAAAATGTCATAGCCGCGCACCGTGTTATGCATAGGTATATTCTGATGAGTTTTTGAAGAGGGCCAAATCTGCCACAACAAAATTGGGCAGTAATGTAACTGCGAGTGACACAGCTAGGACTGTTCTTTGAGCGACAGCTTGGACTAGCATGGCGCTAAGGTTGGACTCCATGTGCAGTTTCTCTGTGCAAAAGAAACATTCTTTTGGCAAAGTGTTAGAGTGGCAGCGGGGAACATTGTTATGCCCGGCAGTGCTTGAAGGACTTTTTGAAAAAGGTGGCTTCAACCACGTCGAAGATTTGGTGGTAATGACCATAGCGGGCGAGGTTGTTGGCGTTTTGCAAAAACTATACCATTATTGTGCCATGATAACTCCATAAAGATTCAATCTTGAGAAAAAGCGTGTGAAAAATTCCATCCCCCATGACCCCCCCCCACACCGGTTGCATGTCCCTAATGCCTGCGCTGCCAACCTGGCAGGTATGCATGATCTGCATTTTGTTTGCTTGACGCCTGCCCTTCCTTAACGCTCATCTATAATACTTAAGCTTCAGTAAATCACATCATAAATATTTGTATTCCATGAAGATGCTGTGTACGAGCTTTTCTTTCTTCAATGTCAGAATCACACACACGTAATGTCTTTGCTACCGAGAAAAAAAAATACACACAGTCTATACTCTCCAATGGAATTTTCACATTATTCCACTTCTAAGTGTAAAAAATCACCGACAAAAGAAAACAGTGGAATGTGTTGCATGAGACTGTTATCCACAATAAGTGCTGTCGCTTACTAGGCGTCAGTTTTAAAAAGAAATTAAAAATTTGTAAACGCAACTGGTGAAACAATAAAGCTTGCTCTGCTACCATGGCCTCTCTAGCAGATAACACAACTTAGCCCAAAAGCACTACAAAATACCACTTCCCTCTATCCTTGCAACACAAGCCACAGCAGGAAAGTGAAGTCATGGCAACATTTCCCCTTCAGCATGGATGATGATACACAGAGGAAAAATGAGCAAGCAGACCTTTGCTTTCACATGACATTCTAAATTGCAGGAGACTCGTAATGGCAACACATAACAAACACGTCGCCTTTTTGCCAACTTTTGACCGAAGTTAATTTTTTCATGCTTCAAAGACACTTTGAGATATACTGCTTTTTACATATCCATAACTTATGTGGATGTAGCAAAATGTCCTTTTTTTTATTCATTGTAAAAAAAAGGTTATGTTTGAAGTGCAACCACATATAAGGGGCAAGTCTTGGGTGAATAAATATTAACATCTTCTCATTAACAGAATATTTTTTTTCTATGTCAGGGCTTAAAACATATTGGGCACTCTTATATTTAGGAAAAAAAATGTGTACACATTTACACACAGATGCATACACGAATAAGTCACAATATGCACACAGCTTATCCCCAATGAAGACTATAGCATTGGATTAAGTTCAAGACACTGCAACACTTGTGTAGGCAATCACTTCTTCTTTCGCTCGGTGGAACATTTTGGACAGAACCACTTTCCCTTGGGTTTGCTTGTGAGGCCAACACAGGTGAAGTGAAACCACTCAATTGGACACTAAAAGAAATAAAATGAACTTGTGAAGTGTGACAGCAAGCTGAAGAATACGTACAGCATGACTTGTCATCAGTTCTCATTTATCTGGTTAAAGGAAAACTAAAGGCAAATAAGACACTATGTCACAGTTAAGGTTTGGTGATTGTGAACATCGAAAACACCAGTATTACATACAGCCATGCTTCAGTAATGAAAAATTCAAATAAACGTAGAACAAGACTTGCATTTTGGAACAAGAGCTTGACAACATACTAAAACCTCAGTACAATCAATCACATGTGCTAGAACATCCCATGACAAAAAATAGTTGTTCCATTGCATTACAAAACCATCTTATTCCTATGAAGAAGAACTTGAAGTTCACTAGAGCAAGTAGTTGCAGAGCAAACACCACATGAAAACAAAAAAAGGCCCGAAGGAGATGCAACACTGTCCTCGAGACTGTCCTTGAGGTTTCCCCCAAGAACAAAAGCTTTTTCTTCGCCAAGCTGTGCTCTACTAAAGCCTCTTACTCCTCAGCACTGGCTGTCTGGCAGCTCACACACAATGAACGGTACATCATCATCAGAGGACTATTGTCAGGAGAGGGGGGGATTTCAATAGCACCAATGATATACAGAGCCCAAAAACAGTATTTTCTATTTAACTGAACATCTAATTCGCATCAAACATGCACTGTGAAGTTTCTGCAATGCTATTTCAACAATACACATCAACATTATCTTTTTGCTACTAGTGCCCTTTAAAGTAGACAGATATGGCACATAAAATGAATAAAGAAATGAAATATCATACAAATGCCTACAACTGCAGTGATGCTACTGGCTTAGGCTGCTTTGTAGCAGCTTTTGGAGCAGACGAAAATGCGTTTTGGAGCAGCAAAACTGACTTTCAGAGCAGATATTGCTAGAGTCAATTTTAATACACCTATCGTGTTCACGAATAAATCCGTGAACAGGGGTTGTGTCAAGCCGACGTTCTCACAAGCGGTCTTGTCTTCCTCAGAACAGAACTGTTCTGTTCTAGCTTTGAGGAAGACAAGTCCGCTCGTAAATATGTCGGCCCGACACAACCCCTGTTTACAGATTTTTTAAGCACAATGTCCCAACCCTCCCTGCGTTTTTTTTAATACTGTGTTCATGACACACGAATTATAAAATTCCAATGTGCTGCACGCTATTCAAGCATACTAAAGTAAAAAAGAAAAGATAATATCACTGACATAGAACTTGACCATATTTATTAGACAAAACCAATGATAAAATTTGATACCATAGCGCTTCATTATAACGTGATAGAAGATCAGTTGACTGATAATTTTTTGGAAGCCAGATTTTTCAGACATGCTTGCAAATTCAGACAATTTTACGACAGCATCACAAGCCCTATTCACTTCTATGGGTAAGAACATCTGAAATTTTCCATGCTAAAACTCTTCGGCGTACGATTTTTTGGGCTTTCAGCCGACATTCCAAGTGTGAAACAGCATTACTTAGAGTCACTACCTTTGCTACGTCTATGACCTTGTAGGCTTAAACAATCTACCGCTCTCAAGAGTTGTTCGGCATTACACTCATGTCAAAAAACCGTCTTTGCCGCAATGCATAAGCGCTAGGGGGAGAAGCAGATAAATAAACGGCTTCGAAGAGGCCGGTATCATCGTGGAGTGACGTGATGTCTAACAGATAAGCACCGGAAATGCTCAAAAGCGTGATAGCGGCAATGCGGCAAGCACGCCAGTAAGACTTAATCGCTTTATTATAAGTATCATCAATTAACTGCTTGTTGCTGCCTGTAGCGCAATTGTCGGCGTACTGCGCGCTTCTTTAGACACGCGCGCGGCCGTCCCCGCTGTCTTTCGGTGCGAATCGGCTAAGTGCGCAACACAGACGCGGTGCCTTCACGATTGAAAGCAGCTCGCCATCACCGCGCCCGTGTTGCGATCAGGAACGGAGTGCACATCAAGAACACTTTTTATGACAAACACGTGCATATGAAAGCGCTTCAATAGGAACAGCGACAGCTGTATAGGCGATGTGCTGCACACAAGTAGGAACGATCGGTCTCGTGTGGCAACAAGTGCTACATGTCGCGGGAGATTTTCATGCAATGGCGCATCTTCTAAGTGCCCACACGCATCGCGGAGGTCCGGACAAGTATTCCTCTATTCTGCCACAGCCTTTATATTACATTGGCGGCGCTTATCAGGCGACGCATACTTGAAAATGGACATCGGCCGGCCCCGATTATATTTACGACTGCCTGAGCGCGCACCTAAATGCCTAATAAGTTTACTCCAGCAGGTATTGAAGCTGTTTCAGGCGAGACTAGCGATTTGATTACTTCAGCAAAATAAAAGTTATGAATCTCTTTTTGGTCCATTTCCCGGTCCCTAGAAAGTCCGAAAAGATTGGGCATCCACTTCGCCCTAACCATCCATGGTCTTAACTATAGTCCCTAGAATATACTGGCTAGCCTGCCGTCTCTGCGTCGTCCCCATGCAAGGCCGTGTCCGCGCCACTGATGCATGCGAAGCTGCAGTCTATCGGAGCGCGTTGGTGGCGCATTCGCACAGGCTGCGCAGGGGGAGATCGGTGGCACATCGTGCTTTGTCTTTTATTATTGTACTCCCGGATGAACTATAATTCTGTTTGTTTGAGAGGGTAGAGACTGAATTGTCCTTAACCGACCAAACGTTACATTCAACGCCACTTCTCTTTGGGGCACTGAACTGACGTGATCATGGTGGTGGAACCAGCCACTCATTGAACAGGATGCGGTTGTATGAAGAAAAACTAAAGGGCGGAATATTAAATTTATTGTGTATTGAGAAAAGCTTTCATTATAATATAAATACTGTTAACTTGTTTTCACAAACATAAGAACTATTTGTAAGCTCAGTTTTCCCGCTCATACATGAACATTTCTGAGAATGTAAACATCATACCATGTTTATTGAGCTTAGTTTCTAAGTAATACAGATTGGTTCTCAATGTGTCACAGAGAAAAGAAAATGCAATAATATTTTCAGAATGAAAGGGAAAAATTCATCAAACACGTTAGTATGCTTCAGTTAAGGTCTTTTTATGTTTTTTATGCACAATTAGCAAACTTCATAATATTTCATTCAAATGACACTATTTACCACCACACAGTATAATGACGCAAGAAATAAGTTGTTCCTCAAAGTTTAACAGCTGGACATTTACACAAAATGCAATCAGAAGCATGCCCCTCATGTTCCATCAGAAGCATATTACTGCTGTCGTGATTTGTGTTGTTGTTTGTATTTTCTACCTTCTTCGCCATATGCGTTCCTTCTTTAAAACAGTTGAAGGCTGCAGGAATGAACGCGAAATAGGTGCGAAGTGAGCATTATTTGCGCGAACGGTGGATGCTAATTTCAATCTCTCCTGTCACACAAACACAGAAAAGATAAATGTACAACTGCATGCACAAGCTTTTTTTTTTCTTTTTCACTGTTTCACGTGCTCACAAAAGACACATTCGTGACACAATTAAAAAACGTTTAACAAGATGTGCCATTCCGTGTTATCCATTGGCCGCTGGCCCATCTCACTTGTCTTGCACTGCAATTATTTCTTTGCTTTGCTATGTTTGGTTTTACTGACGTATAGGGACCGCTTAATTCATGCTCTATGCCCCTAACAAAATACTTGACATTTTTTTCGTTTTCTGAAAAATGAACATACGTAACGGACTCGCCCTGCATTTCGCCTTTCATTTAGTTTGGCTTATCGCGTTTAGGTTCTGGTAGGAGTTTCCATTTCGCAAGCGCGCATGTCATCATTAAATAATTAAAGAAGGTAGACACACATAATAAAAAGATATACGAGAGCTAAACCACTGAGAAAGAGCCTAAGGTGTTTCTCCAACAAGGGACGGCAACAACAGTTTTGCGTGAAAAAGCTGAAATGAGATAGTTTATTTACTGTTAGTCCAGATTGGAAGCCGAGTAAGAAGTGAAAAGGTGGGTACCCAAGGCGTAAACACCACCACTAATTTGTACTCAATGTCACCATTTGTAATAAGAAGCAAAGCACAACTTTGACCTGGCCAAAGCGCAAACAGCTGCGCGAGCCCGTCCATAGGCGCGACTCACGGGAGGGGCGTCTGCTCAAGAAACTCCAATAGCGTACAGAACCACCATCGTATCCATCACCAAGCGGCGGCGGCGGAGACGGCACACTAGCCAGAATATTCTAGGGACCATAGTCCCGACAGTGACATTCGGCCCAGTTTGGCTTGGCATGGGTTACGTCTTACGCAAGTGCATCGCGATGTCATTCTCCGGGAGAACCTCAAGTAGTTTTGTTTCTGAAAGTCAGAGCATGCCCTTGGGCGCAGGTTGGGGGCAGACTCGCCAAATTTGAGGAAATATAGGAGTGTGTCGCAGCCAGGGGGATTCGGCGCCGTTTGGCGCAACAGTAGCATCACTCTACAAGGGAACATTTTTTCTCTGCTCAGTTATGATGGCTCATAGTTATGATGACTCCAACCATTCCAAGTTACTAACCTATTCAGTAACCAGCTCAGCACATTTAAAGGCAGCTGCTTTACCCCCTTCTGATGAGAAATCCTAAAAAATATTTCACGAAAAGCTGCGTTTTTCCCACGCAATACAGAGTAGTGCCTGTTCCACTGTCTAATATCCTTTAAAGGGGTCCTGCAACACTTTTCGAGCATTGTCAGAAAATGCTGCCGATCGGTAGTCGAGAAACCTGAAAACATGTGAGCCAATTACTAAAGAGCAGCATGCGGCTTGCTATTCACAATAAATTCTCAGTGAGCTAAAAATTGGTTTTCCTTCTCTCGCCAAATGACTCTACAGCGCAGAAATCATTTGTCAAAGCCATCGTATATCAGCCATTGGCTGATATGAGCAGGGCCCGCTCGGTCGTTATTGGGGCCACCGCAGGAGGCCACGAGTTGTCCACCCATGTACGTGCAATTGCACTGAAAAACCGCATATATGAACT